ATATATTTAATTAATTAAAGTTTGATATGTATCTTATAAGTAGTATATTTAAACATAAAATTAGTGATTAATATAAAAATTAGTATAATTTTTTTTACATGTAAAAACTATAGATCAAACTTTAAATCTATGATTAAGAATATATGTATTACTGTTTACACCTAAAATAAACCAATGAGAGAAGGCCACATGTCAAGTTGAAGTCCAATTATCAAGAAAAGTTAGTAGGTTAGATTTGGGCTGGGCTGGATTATAATTTAAAGGCCCAGACGGAATTTTAAAAAAGTTGGATTTCAAGTGGAAGAAGATAAAATAACTTTTGGTATTTGAGTTTGATTTAACTTAGGAAGTTGAGAATTTTTGGGAGGAGGTTATCTCTATAGCTTTATTGGAGATAAGATTGAGTAAAAATTGTCAACTGCCAGATAGCTGCCAGACATGGAACCCCCACTACTTGATCATGGTGAGAGAGGGCCGAGAAACATGAAGGAGGTTTCCCAGCACCAAAGAAAAGAAAAACAGGAGGAAGAGATCAATTCCAGACGGCCTGCCCTACACACACTGCCCAGAGCATGTTTTTCAATTTTCAAACTGCTCTTTCCAGATTTCAGCAATAGTTTCCAGATTAATTTGCAAGATCTATTTTTGTTCATAGCCTTAGTTTAGGTTTTTCCATTCTCGTTCATATCTTTCCTCAAAGATTTCAATTTAGGTTAGTTTTTAAGCATTTGGAAGCAATTCAGTCTTAAAAACAGGTCTACCCTGTTGATTTGGTTAGTTTAGTTCATCTCTCTTTTATGGATTCAGTTTTGTTATTTGTTCGTGTAAATAGGTTGAATGTTTTCTACCTTTGTTCTTTTGTTTCTGCACAATAGCCAGACATGCAGTTTATTTAATTTCAATTTCTAGATTTAATTTTATAAATTTTCAAACTTTAATTATTTCGTAAATTCTCCTTCAGTTTTAGTTATCAAGTAGGTTATTAAGTAGTTTAGCTATTTTTATTTTAAATCTGCAAGTAATTGAGTTTAATTGTTATAGATTGCATAGTAGAAATTGTTGTCTGTGATTTTACATTTTATATTGTCTGCGAATTTTCTTTTTAGGGCATGTTGTTTTCTTTTGTTGATTTTATGTTAGATTAGTTGCCTTAGGATTTTGTGTTAATTTTAGGATTTGTAGTTTTTATTACACTTTTGTGGTTGTGAAGTCCTTAGAGATTTTCAAGGCAATTAATAACCTATTTTGTAGAACTCCACCCTCTGTTTTGCAATATTGTTTGGTGCACAATTTATTTTCATAGACGTTCTTTCCAATCATTCCATTGGAGGTTGACCGTTGGAAAAAAAAATGGTCATCTAGAAAATCCTGTTTTCTTGTTTTTAGACAAAGCAAGTGGCACGCCTAACATCTAAACTTACGTGGTAAAGACTGACTGAGGATTTTTGGGGAAACAATTACTCTACTAATAAACTACATAATTAATTATTAAAAATTAATATAAATTATATTAATGTAAACTTATCATAACTCAAAAATTTTAAATTTCGCCCCCTTACCTAAGCCTAGCTCGTCCCTGGTTGGGACAACCTGAATTAGTTGTTACTCTCAAACGTTGCAGCATTTTATTTCAAATTTAACCCGAGAGTAATCCATAGAAGACATTAGATGAGTTTTGGCGTTGCGAAGTGAATTAAAATTAAATATGAAATTTGAAGTATTTAATAATATATTGCGCTGCTAATGTATTAAAAGGAATTTCTTTGTAGCTGTATCAATGAGAATTACATTATTATTGTTAGGATTTTATTATTATTGTTTATGCAGCTTCATGAGCTTTTGTATTGGTAAGTTCTTGAACTCCTCCGATATTTGAAAATCTCAAAAAA